TACACAGCGGAAATGCGAGAGTAAAACGTGTGTATGAGAAGGAAGAGATGGGAATAAAAATGGGTAATTGGGTAAAAATCCGTGAAAACATGAATAGAAGTGACTGTCGTAAATTCATTAAAGTGGCGGCCGTGACGAATGAGTGGGATCCGACCTGTTCAACCGTTCGTCGCGACCGACTTGGACTTGGAGGGATGTGTCCAGGAAAGAAAGTCGAACTTGTCTTTCGCGTTCTCGAGGATCGAAGAGGAGCTGGATTCAGGCTGCATGCGCGCTTGGGGCACTTCCCGGGGCTCCAGGACCAGCGACCGGCGATAGAATGTCTGCAGACTCTTTTCGCCGCTCGATCGCACACGGACGAGCTCGTTCTGCATCCACGCCTGTAGCTCCGGCACTTCCGTCAGTCGATACGGAATCTGGAAGCGTTGCAGCTCGCTGATGATCTTAGCCGTCTTCATGTGCTTGTCGAAGTTGATGACTGCCATGTCACCCTCATCTGTGGGCAAGGTACGCAGTGCCTGGTTGCCGTGGTCCACGAAGGTGAGATCCGTGAGGTAGGTACCGACGAAAGGCAGGCAAGGAGGAACGCGGTTCTGCAGTCGCTGCCGGAGAACGTAGTAGTTCCGTGAGACATCGACAATGCCTCGCAGGTATTCAAGGGTGGTTTTGGTCTTCTGGGACACCACTTCCCAGGTCCGCTTCAAGCGGGAGATCATGGATGAATTCAAGGAGCAGATGATGGCCATCAATGAGTCATAGTTGCTGAGCTCCAGGCACTTGTTTGCAATCTTAACCCAGTGCTTGATGATCGCTGCACGCTTCTTGGGCTCTTCTAGCTGGAGAATCGAATCTGCTACGAGATGTGTCAGATCCGTGGACAGAGTGGCCATAGCCCTGACGTTAACAGCCAAGGAACCGGACTTCTTCATCCACTCTGTGGCCAGCAGCTCTTCGGGAAGAATAGCGCAGAAGATGCGCGACTCCTTGATTGTGAACTGGCGAGCGAGTTCCATCGGGTCGAAATCCAGGATGGTAATTGTGCCTTCGCCGTTCTTCCACTGCTTCAGAAGGTTGACTTCCTTCTTTCCCAGGATGGGTGGTGGCAGAGGTGTGTCTGGGTGCACATATTGTGCAGTTGCAGTGTTGGTCTTTCCCATGGAAGACACCAGACGCGGTACGACCGGTCCGTGCACCATTGAGACCTTTTCGGCAAGCTCGACAAGCCGCTTTCCAGCAGACGGAAGGTTGTGCATGAGGGTCGTGCTGGCGAAGTTCACAATGTATTCGAGGGCACAGTTATCGCAGTCGTGACGCCAGTGGGATTCGAGCCAGCCTTTGAAGACGTTGTAAACACGAAGACGAACAGGCCCGGCAGTGTGAGGAGTGTCTCCGATGTAGTTGAACCGATCAACCAATGTCTCCGCAAACTCAATTGGGGTAGCGAAAAGACGGAAAGTGAGATAGAAGGTCGAAACGAACATCGCGTCTGGCGTAGACTGGTGTGCAGTCAGCTTCTCGACGAGCGCGCGTAGACTTCCGCCCATGATCTGGCCATCCTTGAAGATAAGCTCGTGCGCGTAAGTCTTCTCCAAAATGTTGGCTTCTCCTTCTTCCGTTTCCTCGGCTAGGGTAGAATGACTGATGCTGCCCTTAAGAGAAGGAACCTGGTAATGATTGCCAATGTCGGGCGAGGTCGCGCGAGTGGAAGTCTGGGAGACACCACTCATCTCCGAGTCACGGAGACGGCTATTGAATGTAAAGCTACTTCCATTGCTTGTGATGCCTCGACCAAAGGACTCACTAACATCGGACTTAGCTTGGCTGTCCCTATGAGGGGGGATCTCAATGGGTTGGGTATCGTGAGACGAAAAGGATAGCTTATCCAGGCTGGTGGAGAGGTGGCTGGTGGATGGAAAGGAGGACATGTCGGTGCCGGGAGTGCTAGCCCCATTACGCGACTGGAAGGACGAGGGAGTAGTGTCATCCGTCAGACCTGGGGTTGGAGGAGAGTATCGGTTGTTGATGGAGTTGGGAATTTGTAGAGGAGGCGGGGGCAAGCGCAACGAAGCTTCTTGAGATCGGTTCTGGTGACCAGCAAAGGTGCTTGTCTTCGGGGGTTGCGGGGTTTTGTTGGCGTCGGTCATTGCGCCGGTCGCAGCAGGCAAATCCTGGGGCATTGCCTCCAGCTCGAAATCACCGCATTGCTCCAGCATCAGTCGAGCTTTGGCCAGGCAGCTCCCCGCTGCTCGCACGCAATCAGTGGCGGCATCCACCAAGCGCTTTCCTTCATCAGGCAAAATCACAAGCTCATCATCTGGAGAATGGGCCGGTCTGAAGGCGTCCCGGGCCGCATAGACCAATTCGGAGAGGCGTTCATACATAGTGTCTCTAGCTTGCTCCAGGAGCCCACTGCCCTGCGGGTCATGCTCGCAAGTGGCCTCGACGACGGTGAGCAGCGCGCGGCACGAGCGCACCGCCTGCTCCGTGGTCACGACCAATTCCGTCGAGGAGCGGGATTGCAAATGAAGCCCAATAAAGGAGCCCAGCACACCGAGAAATGCATCGTAGGCATCGTTCAGTCGTTCGGACGCGAGGTTGGGGTTGCGGGCAATGGCGGCCGGTCCCGAAGTCGAGACCCGGTGGGAGACGGAAATCCGCTTGGTGGTCACAGACACCGGACGGGTCTGTTGAGAGTCGTCCAGGCGAGTGGATGCTCGGCTCATATCCAATCGGCTACGGTTCATGAGTCTAGACTCGTTGCGCTCGGTGTCGGCCTCGGAGCCAGCAGCTTCGGAAATGGGGCGAGTCTCAGAAACCGTAGTGAGTGGGCCTTGCTGGTAGCCTGATTGCTGCTCTAGCTCGGCGATCGTTCTGCTCAGGCCAACTTCCTCGGTCCACACATCGAGAAAACGAACACCTCGCGTTACAATGCGAAAGGCCTTGAGGAGCATTTCGTCGACCATGTAGTCCATTTCATCCTGCGTCGCATTGCCGCTGGCAACCTCCTGAAACCTCTTGGTGGTCCGGACCAGAGATGAGAGCTCAGCCAGCAACGCCTTGCGATTCCTGCGCAGACCGTCGTGACTGGTAACCAGGATACAATCCCGTGTGAGACATTCAGATTTTTGCTGTGACCCTGTCAGTTATCCTCCGATAAACACCAGCTACGAGTCGAACACCTACCAATAAATAGCGCACGCCAGCAATCAAGCCTCGTACAAGATCCTGGTTGCCAGCGTCGTTCAGAGGGAATCCACAGCCTCCTCTGATAATATCCCAAAAGTCGGTCAACGCCTTCAGGAGCGGCCGCATAGGCTGTTGGTCATACGCTTCGCAGTAGTTGGTGGGTAGCCAGCCCCGAGCTCCAGTATCTAATAGTGTACCGTCGGCCCAACCATTGGTGTGAACAGAATGCACTAGAACGATGTCGCCTTGGTCCAAGGGGAGGGTGACAGTCGACGGCGATACATTTCCGGAGGGGTGATAAGGGTAGAATGCACGGAGGTAGTTGTGGAAGACGGCCCTCGGCGTCTCTGATTGCTCCATACTGTCGTCTTTGTTTTCGTAAGGTGTTAACGGAGGGCTCATTTCAAGATTGTGCTGGTAATGATAGTGATGTTGTTGGTCGTCGTAGTTGTATTTAAGGTTTCCCTTTTCGATCTTCAGTGGCGCAATGTGTCGCTTCATTGATTCCATGTCTCTATTCCTGAGACGGGATCGATGTGGATGTGATAGCCTTCCGCTTGGTAGGTCCAGTCGGACGTCGTGGTCACTGACCAAGGCTTATGCGAGAGAAGACGCAATGATCATTCTCGCACTGTCCTATGAATGGTGGTAAAGGTGAAGAGAAGCAAGTGAGTTGCACAACCGGGGTGTGTCGGTGATGTAGTGTAGACAAAGAAGATGATCGAGCTAGTCGAGATGTGATGATGCGTGTGGCTGTAATGCAATCAATGTCTGTGATAGAAGGTCAATCATGCGGCGCTGCTGAAGGCTGGTGCGAGCCTTGAACATTGACGGTGTGCTTTCTACCCTCAGGCCGGCAAGGGCGTCTGAAGGATGTTTGGGAGGGGATGGTTCTGCATGTCTCCCGGGGAATGTCCGATTCTAGGGAGGGGAATGGAAGGAATGCTGGGGAAGGGCAACCGGTTGCTAACGTACCTTGAACGCGAACCTAGAAAAACGCGGAAGAAAACGAAGGAGGTGCGTGGGTTGAAATTGCAGCGATGCGATCGATATATAGTAGTTGCTCGTCGAGAGATTTTCGGCAGCGTCTCTACTGCAGACACGTTCTTCAATGCGCGGGATCAAAACGAGGAGTGAAGTCGAGCACGAGGAAACCGGGGAATTGAAGAAGGTTTGAGGCAACAAAAAGCCGAGTAGACAAGCCGCAAAACAAAAACAGAGTGTGGCGAACAATAACAAGCAGTCACTCGACGCCCGGGATGAGGAAAACCTGCCTCGTTGGAAAGGGAGGGCGAGTGAAAAGCGGACTGGATAGTGCTGTAAAGCAAGCAAGGACCACGAGTCGACCCCGGACTAGATCTTCGAAAATCCACGTAGGAAAATTAACCCGGACAACGAGTGTGACCTTTTCCTTCCCAGGAGTTCGATCGACGGGGAGTGCAGCGACTATGACGACAGGCGGAAACGAGGTGAGCTCCTGCTGTAGCTGTGCGTCGGGAGGGATAATCTTGTTCGCAGACAGACACGCAAGGGCCGCGACAGTTTCCAAGACACGGCGGATTAAGCAGAGACCGGGGAAGGGCGGGAATGAGCGCAATGCAGGCCGTGTCGGTTTATGAGAAGAAGTGATGTTGTGTAATGCTATGCTAAGCTATTCAAGTCAATTGCCACCAGCAGCAATGAGTGAACGATTGGATAGCTCCACCAGGGTTTAGATGGAGAAAGGGGAAGATAATCGGTAGTGATGATGTATAGTATAGTGAGTGTGTGAGGTGAGAGTGGAGGAGGAGGAGGGGGTGGGTGAAGGTCAGTGAAGAGGGAAAAGAGCGGGAAGGAGAAGAGAGGTTCAGGGAGAGAGAGTGTGTGTGTGAGTGGATGTCAGTCCGTGTATGTATGTAGACGGATGTCCGTGTGTAGGTAGCGATGTGACGAGATCGAGTCAAACGAACGATATTGAGGGGAACGGTCCAAGGACAAGGAACCAGGGAAGTACCTGGTACTAGCCCACTACTAACAACCTGACGGAGAACGGGGACGAGCAGGAGCAGTTCTCCAGACTAGTTGGTGCGGTGACTGGCCTAGAAGAGTGGATAGCAAGCACTGGTGGTTATCCACAGAACCGGTGGATATGACTCGATTCGGATGTGGAGCAGACGATCGGTACCCCTTGTGCACCTTGAGGTCTGTTTGGACAGACAACAATGAGGGAATGGCAAAAAATAAAATAGAGAACACAAAACTGAACCACGGCTGAATGAATGGATTGATGGGACAGATTGATTGATTAATGCCGTGCGCGCACATGTATGAGTTGAGGAGAAGGAGAAGAGAACGCGCAATGATAAGGGTCGTGTCCAGCCTGTCAAAATAATATACTGAACTAGCGGTGCTTGCCTTCGGTATACAATCATCCCATAAAAAATCTCATAAAAAACAATTAATAAAAAAAATTCCCATTTACAGTGCACTCACTCCCCTGTTGTTTTTTATTTTTCTATTTCTTATTTTTAATTTTTATTTTTCCTTATCCCAATCGGAATCGAGTCTTGGTCTGGTCTGATCTTTATTTTTTCCTTTTTTTTTTTTTCTTTTTTTTCGTTCTTTCTATTCTTTCTATTTTTCATTTTCTATTCTATTTTACCCCTACGACCTCTTCATGTGCAGGAGTATTTTCTTATTTTCATCTTTTTATTTTCTCGGTCTTCTATTTTTTTGTTTTCCCAGTTATTTTGATTTTCCCCTTTTTCTCCCCAAACTGCCTTTTTCCGAGGAACCCAAAACCAACCAGTGACCGCCCAACGCACGCAGCTAACCTTTTAGTCCTGCCTAAACGGTTATGATCTGCCATCACACAACCGGTGCCAGTTCCAGGGTGCTACTACGGCACGACCTATCTATCTGTCCATTCCATCATGCAATGTAATTTTTATTTTTATCTAATTTGCCTCTTTTCTCCCGTCCGATAAATAATAATAAAATAAATGTCAACAATAAAAAAAATCCACCCCATGATATGATCGCGATCGCGATACTCCTCCATCCAATCTCCAGTGGTTTGTTTCTCCGGAATTGAACTAAACCTGAAATAAATAAATAGTATACCACTATACTTCTTAGTTAGAATACGTACGTACTTTCCAAACCTAAGTAGTGTAGTGTGTAGGTAAGTTTACTTGTGTACTTAATACAAGCCCATCATCCACCTAAAGCCTACTAGCCACCTACACTACCAATAACTGGTGGACTACTAGTGCGGAAGCCCGTCCTGTCAAGTCAATCAATCAGTCAATCAAACCAAACTCAGGCAGGTAGGTGTAAGTAGGTCTCCGTCAGCATATTAAAAACGGCCACAGCGGACCTTCCCTTTTCCTTTTTTTATCTTTTCTTTCCCCCCCCCCCCCTACTAGTACTATGGCTTGGCTCTCGGCAGTGTAGTACGTACGTACTTTTTGAGGGGTAAAAGGATTAAACAAGAAGGAAAGGGAAGACAAATAAGAAAAAAGAGTCTGCTTACACCATCCGTACTAATTGTGTTTAGTGCGTGCAAGTGAGCACTTTGACAGGCGGGCAAGCAACAACCCCCCTCCTTTTTACTTCCTTCCTTCCTTCCTTCCTTCCTTCCTCCTTCTCCAAATTAATAACGCGCGAGCTATGGTATTCTTCTAATTTTGATTCGACTCGAATACTAAAATCAAAAAATAGAAATACATCCTTTCTATCCACTGATCTTTCGTTGAATAAATTAAATTTAATATATACGGATTGTTTTTAATTTATGCAAGCACATCATCCTTTTTGTCTCTCTCTACGAATCTTCTTTTACTATTTGGAGTTACCGCTAAACCTCGTTAGGGCAGGCCCACCGAGATGGAGGATTGGTAAGTGGGGATAAAGATGGACTTTGTGTATGGACAAACAGGGGTTTGAGTTTGAAGGGCCCAGTGTATTGCTGGCAGTAGTTTGGCCTGTCTAACTAACTCCGTAGTCTAGCTACTACTTACTTAGTAGTAGTACTGCTGGAAGAAGAAAGATCATGAGCAAAATGATGCTGAGATATATAGTTAGTAAGTGATAAGTAATAAGAATTGGCTCTCTTTATTTATTTCACTTTCTGTCTGGGCAATTTATGTATGTATGTCTATATGTATGTATGTATTCCTTTCGGGTCGCTACCTACCTTAGTAACCGAACAAACATACTTTAAGTGGTGGCGAAAAAAAGCCACGGCATCCCCTCACGTTTGTATACGTAGCTCTTAATCAAAGTCACGTCTCTCCCTCTCTCTCATCAAAATTGAAGCAAAACAAGCACCTCGTCACGGTGGTTACTCAATCCCTCATATTCTTGGATCCGGGGTTACCATCAATTGAAGCAGAGATGGAAGAACGGAAACGATTAGTAAGAGAAATAGTACGAAAGTATGGGGGAAAAGCACTCTGAGTTGAGTGGAAAGTCTAAAGTCGGAAAAGTCGAAATTTTGGGACGTCGCAGACTGGACGGGGGAGAAAAGGACTCGACTAGAGATCGACAAGGCAGTAACCATCCCACTGGGACCTCTCGAGAACTTTCTCGAGGCCATCATGCACTGGCTTTACTTTTGCCTATTCCCACAGCCCGTCCTGTAATTGATTGGTCGGGTACTTTTTGGATGTTTCAATTGCCTCGACAGCTTCCGCAGCGGCCCGTTCTGGCTGCTTGCTGTACAGTATCCTCTTTGGGATTACCCTGCGTATTCGGCCGAGGCATCGAGATAGTTATTCGGCGTTCAGCTTTTCGCCTCTTGCTGCTAGTCATCCGGTCCACAGAGGCGAACTTCAAGCAAGCAATCAAGCGAGCAAGATCCCAGAAAGAATAGGGCAAAAAAGGAAACCTAACCCAGTGGCGATCTAAAAATTCAGGATTATCCGAATTGAGCCCTTCTTACTTGGGTTACTTGTTACCTGGTGGAAAAAACTAGTGCGGAGCACCATTGGCCGAGAAAGTAACGGCCTCGAAATAGAAACCGATGGACGACAATCCGCGTCAATCAGGGCCCGGCAAAAGAAGGGAGAGAGGAGCAGCCAAGATGAGGGGCCAATAGGATGAGAAAGTGACCTATTGACTGTCACGGGGAAACGGGCAAGCCAAAGCAATGAAAAAAGGATGAAGACTAAGGATGCATCATTCCCTCCTCCCGACCCACAGGCTAATCCACTGCCGAGCCAACGAGCTCTCCCAAGCTGCTGGCCCGGCTTTCTTGTCGTTTCTGACGGCCGGGAAGAAGCTCCAGGCTCAATTCTTAGCTGTGCGGATACCAGTACTATGCAAGTAGGGTTTCGGGGTGATCACACAAGAGAGATATGGCCAAGTCGAGCATTTTCGAGCATTTCCTAGGTTATGAACTTACTAACTCGGTCGGTTACGCGGTTCCATGGAACCAAATCGATATCGGATAACAACCAGCCAATTGCCGATAGTAACATCGAGATCACAACAATTGGAGCAACAAGTAGAGCTCCTCAATTCTAGTCGCACAATCTTTGCGAAGGGATTCACATGTCTCACCTGATGACCTACCATGTGTACTCTATTCTGTACCTGCAGTCCAACCCTGTCTGCAGTGCAGCAAGTGAAGTGTGCAACTGTGACGGCGATCCAGATACGTAGTAGTTAGTTCTGTAGGGCGGTGACTGATCTCCTATCCTGGCTGTTAATGGAACAGATTACACACCTACGTCAGTGGTAGACAATCAAGTCACATTGAAGCTAGCATCTCCAGATTGCCTGTGCACAGATTTGAGGGAAGTTATTTGTGGCACCGGATTATCTACGACGCAAGGGCAATCGCGCACAGCCTTAGTTACTACCACTTACCCCCGCCTGTGCCCGTATCCACCACCGATCGATATATAAAACCACGCTTACAAATGCATCATTACATAGGCTCATGAAACTCATAACTAATAATGATCTCCATTGCTTTCAAGACACGAGAACCAAATGCATCATGCATTGTCTACATTCGGCTTATAATTCCGCAGGAGTAGACAGATGGCTTACTTAGCCACCTGATTATTGATTCTCCATAGGAACCGGACCATTGCCACTCCGACGGCCACATACACATGGTATGGAGTCTCCGAGCTATAGCTGCTACTATGAATCATGATGAACCGAGGAATCAACCATCTTCCTCTCTCTAATTTACAGAATAAGTCACTTCCAGTCACCTCCCCCCAATCGTACCCGTAGATCTTCCCTTGGCATTGTCAATACACATTCTTTGTTGTGTTGAATATTTCCTTTTGATGGCGTACGTCTCTTGAACTCTATACCCTTTTCTCACTTTCACTTTCACTTTCACTCTCTCCTTCTCCTTCTCCCCCGCGCGCTCAGATACAACACTAGCCAGTTAGTATATTATCCAAGTGAACGGACATCCTGCCTAAGAAAACGGGCTGATAACTATCCATCCGACTATCTATCAGGCAAAGAAGCAATTTCAGATAAGCAAGCATGCAGATAGACAGATATCTGTACGATGTATTGCGAATCCCCCACACAGCCATCTCATCATTCATTAGTGCATACATACATACATACATACATACGTACCCAAATATGAGCCGATGAGGGGGGGCGCAGCGCGATATTTCCTTCTGCCGCAGGAGTCCGTCAGCTTGGTTCTCGGGTCTGATCGCCACGATTTGATCGGGGTGCGCATACATGAGGGGGGATGGGGGGGAAAGACTACTAGTCTGGGTCTCGCATGCATAGTTAGTTGGGTGAAGGTTGGGGAGGTGATAGGTATGAAGTCAGTAGTACTCCGTACTGTAGTAGGAGTAGTAGTAGTATGTCTAAAGTAGGTCTAGGTATAGGTCTAGTTAGTAGGCTAGGTGGTGGTGGTTAGTGTTACAGTGCGTAATGCCAGATCGAGTAACTCTTCCTGTCGGAAGGGAGTCCGCGTCTTCCGTTAGGTTTTTTGTTTTTGAGTGACGCTTACACGGCGTATAGTAGTTCCCGTGTCGATTAGGTTCGAAGTCAGACGAGGGAACAAAGACATCCTGAGACGGGATGAATGAAGTACGACGGCGGTTTTGGTGCTACTGCTACTGCTACTACGACTTAGTTATTACTTACTACCTTGGCCCCCATTTCTACGAAGGGAATGACAGGTCGTAAACGGATGATTTCCGACTACTCCCGTGGTACAAAGGAATGATCATCAAACTATATACTATGTGGGCTTTAGGCATGAAGCCGGCGTTGTCCCACAGGCACACACACTCACACACACAGCAGCCGTAGATAGATAGTTGGTTAGTTAGTTAGCTCGAAGGACGTGCTGACTGCTGACACCCGACCGTTGATGCC